CAGATCAGCTCTAGTCTCTAACATCACTGAATCTGCTGTTAAAAATGAACCATTCATTCATTATATCATCATGCAAGACTAAGAATTAGAATCATTGTAATGTGATGATCAAATATAGGTGATCATCACAAATATAGGTGATCATGGGTGGCGGGCGAATAATTTGAAGCAGCGGACTTGGGTGAAGTTTGAGCTCATCCGCGCATCTCTACACTACACTGACCTGGGTCACCAGTAGCAAACAATGGAATGCGCTCTGCTGGGCAAACTAAATAATTACACCATTCAGAAGCATTTAATCTGCGTTATATATTCTGTAAAAAAATGTTCATATCGGCGGAATATTCGCCGATACCGATATATCTGCGACAGGCTCATATCGGCCGATAATATCGGCAAAACGATATATTGGTCGGGCTCTAATTTTTACCGCTCCAGAAGTGGCATCTAGTGGCAAAAAATTAATTAGCATTTTCATTCAGACCAAGTATTCAAGTTTTCCCAGGTCTGCGAGAGCAAGACCTATTATGGATTTTTGAAAATGACCTTTCATGCAGTGTGTAACACGGCTCTAAGTGAATGAAAACATCCTGCAAAACATTTAATGTGGCATGCGTTATATCTGATAATATTTTATCATTATAATACATGTCATATTATTACATATCATAAATTGTATTATGAATATTTAATATAGGGGATGCAATATATTTTATCATAATTTTATATATTTATTTAATATAGGATTGTGACTGTGTATGTATATTTAAATATTTTTGACATTCAGTATGTTTTAGAACATTATAATTTTCATATAATGATAAATTGTGTATGTGAGTGTGTGCGCTTTGTCTTCACTTACATAAATGTTTCCTATGATGGAGAGTCTGCATTAAAGTGATTGTCTCTGTTAGGTCTACACGTCTGGTAAGGGCAGCAGTGCTGCTGGTTTGACAGCCTCAGTGCTGCGAGACCCCAACACTCGTGGTTTCGTCATGGAGGGTGGTGCCATGGTGCTGGCTGATGGAGGAGTGGTCTGCATTGATGAGTTTGACAAGGTTGGACTTCTAAGCATTCTGGATTTCCAGAACATACATGTATTGTTCTTGCAGTCTTGTGAAATGCTTTGGGCTTTATGCTGAACTATTGCTTTCTTTTTTTGATAGATGAGAGAAGATGACAGGGTCGCCATCCATGAGGCCATGGAGCAGCAGACCATTTCTATTGCAAAGGTACCAGGTATTTTCACTTCATTGCATTAACCAATAGAAATCCACTATTTATTCAGCTTACGTTCTCGTTAGACTGATTAATTTCTTTGATTAACGCTTGTGTGTTCACCTCAAGGCTGGCATCACCACCACTCTGAACTCCCGCTGCTCTGTATTGGCCGCTGCCAACTCCGTGTTCGGCCGCTGGGATGATACAAAAGGAGAGGACAACATTGACTTCATGCCCACTATTCTGTCTCGATTTGACATGATCTTCATCATCAAAGACCATCATGACCAACAGCGAGACATGGTGGCTGAACAAAACGACCACTGCTTACGGATTCCATTGAAGAGTTTGATTTTACATGAACTAATGCACAAGCCTGTGTGTTTTTCTTTAGACTTTGGCCCGGCATGTGATGAACGTTCACCTGAGCGCTCAGACGCAGACGGAGGGTGTCGAGGGAGAGATTCCTCTGGCCACGCTGAAGAAATACGTCGCCTACTGCAGAGCGTAAGTCTGGATCATAGTCTATAAACACTGTGTGAAATAGCATTCATCTGTGTTTGTATGTCAAAATAATAATGCATTAACTCCCACAGGAAATGTGGACCTCGTCTGTCTGCGGCCGCCGCAGAGAAACTGAAGAACAGGTACGTGCTGATGAGGAGCGGAGCGAAGGAACACGAGAGAGAGACCGACAGACGTGTGTCCATCCCCATCACTGTCAGGTAACCACTCAGTTCAGTGTTGTGACACTTGTCTTTACTCATTTTGTTCCTAGATGTATATTTATACATCCTGCATGTAGTTATTTACAGTATACACTTGTTGATATTTAATGGTTGGTGATCTGTCGTCCTGCAGGCAGCTTGAGGCCGTGGTGCGCATTGCAGAGTCTCTCGCTAAGATGAAGCTGCAGCCCATCGCTGGAGAGGAAGAGGTGGACGAGGCTCTGAGACTCTTCCAGGTGTCCACGGGAGAGGAAGAGGTGGACGAGTCTCTGAGACTCTTCCAGGTGTCCACGCTGGACGCGGCTCTGTCCGGCAGTCTATCCGGTGAGTGTGTTGGTCTTTCAGGCCGGGAATAAACTGCAGTATTACTTATCACAGTAGATTTCTTATGGAGGACTAGGAGTGCCGCTTAATAAAACAATTTCAATCAGTTTAATTGATTGCCAGATCAATTTATTAAATCAAAAATAATATAATTTACTTTGGGGAAGAAAAAAAAAAAAACATTTTTATA